CTTTTGTCAGTGTCTGACATGAGGATGAGTCACGGACATTGCTTGACCAATTTGCTCTCTATGAAAGCTTGAGAAAATGTTTTTCTCTCCATGTGACTCTCTCCAGGCTCATTTTAGATCATCGAACACATTCCTCTGTGGCTCCATAATCTTCTTGATCAGAAAATTTGGAGCACAACTGAGTTGCATGTTGTTACAGTACAGGTTCTCCTATGTCCTCAGTCTTCACTGACCTGGAAAGGCTAGGGTCAAAATGTTGGCTAACCATGCAGCCCTTCCTTTTCTCCAATTTTGATCTGCTAACTTAGGTTGTTTATCCTCCAGAAGAGAAACTAATTATTAACCTGCAATATATGCAGTTCGGTTTACCCTATCTGTCGAAATATCAAACATTTTGGTATATCCTGGAACAGGTATTTTCCATCAGATATTGATATGTTGAACTTTAAGTCTTCACAGAATATGAAGGAAAAAATAATTATATAAACGTAGAAATAAGCATTTACATATTTTACAAAGAAATTTAGAAACCTAATCATATACGGAATTGTAAGTCCTTATATTAGGGAGACACTATGATATTTACAGATGTGGGTCTGGTTTATTTCACTAATAAGTATATCTTCAAGGGGCATCCACTTAAATATGAAGGCTTCAAGTTTATCATTCTTTACAGCTGAGTAGTATTCCATTATATAAAAGTACCACATCTTTTTCAACCATTTGTGTGGATGAATATTATAAAATAAACCTATACATTGTGTCTTGCATTAAATCTATCCCCTTGTAAATCCTGACTACAACAGCAAAGTCTCTACAACAAACCCTTAGGTTGAAAAGTATTCCACATTTTTAAGATGTATATAAAAAAATCAGCAATCTGTTTTGGGACACTAACCCTGCATCAACTCTACTGTTTGACTTGAGCAGTGTTATGATTTGTGTCTAGATGTCGCCCCAAAACCTCATGCAATGATGAGACAGGCTTCTAGAGTTTTTGACTGATCCATGGTCCAGTGCTAGAATTACAAGTGTGAATGCTACATCTGCCCTAGGGCAGGTAACCTGCATACAATATAAGGGAGGGACAGAGACTTGCTATCTCCTCCCTTTTACTTTTGATACTTTTACTGTTTTCCACTGCCATAAATTGTTGCCCTCTGTCTTGTGCCATATTGCCTTGGAGCCAGCTGAGAATGGACTAACACTGCCACAAATTGTGAGCTAAAGAATCCTTTCCTTCCTTAATTTGGAGTGTTGGATATTTTGTCTCAGCAATCAAAGAAAAGTAACCAAGATAAACAGCCATACCAACCCCACCATTTTAACACATAGCTGGCCCACATTGCTAATTTAAAGTGAAATCTTTCAGGTACCAGGTGGCATTTCAGATAATAAGAATCTTGGTTGTTTTGGAAATTTGTGCTGCTATGTCCTAAAGAAACTTCTAGTTAACAACCATATATATTTATTCTTAGTCATCCAGCTGGACTATATTTGCAGTTGTACTTGGCCATCAACTTTTATTCAATAAAACATGAACAGAAGAGATACAGTTCACCTCTATTCTTGGCGCATAATCCTACCCAACACATGATACTCTGTGTCTGGTCCCTTTTGCTGCATGGCCCTGGAAGCTTAACTCAAAAGATGATTGAGGGTCTGGGAGAATCTAGCAAATTTACCACCATGGTGAACTTCACTGTAGACTAGATTCAGGCCATCATGGACAAGAAGGCCAACATATGCAACATGTTTGTCATCACCCATGTGAACCATGGTGAGTCCATGCTGACGGACTCTGTGGTGTGCAAAGCTGGTATCATTGTGTCTGTTCGCACTAGTGATACCTGCTTCACTGATACGCGGAAGGATGAGCAGGAGTGCTGTATCACCATCAAGTGAACCACTGTCACTCTCTTCTGTGAGCTTTCTGAGAATGACTTGAACTTTATTAAGCAGAGCAAGGATGTCTCTGCCCTCCTCATCAACCTCATGAACTCTCCTGGGCCCGTGGACTTCTCCTCAGAAATGACAGCTGCCATGCATGTCACTGATGGCTCCTTGGTGGTGATGGACTATATGTCAGGAGTGTGCATGTAGATACAGTACATCAAGCCCATACTCATGATGAACAAGATCGACCATGCCCTGCTCAAGCTGCAGCTGGATCCTGAGAAGCTGTACCAGACCTTCTAGCACATTGTGAAGAACATCAACATCATCATCTCTACCTTCAGTGAGGGCCACAGTGGCCCCATGGGCAACATCATGATTGACCCTGTCCTTGGTACTGTGGGCTTTGGGTCTGGCCTGCATGGCTGGGCCTTCACCCTGAAGTAGTTTGCAGAGATGTAGGTGGCCAAGTTTGCTGCCAAGGGAGAGGGCAAGCTGGGGCATGTCAAGCAGGCCAAGGACATGGAAGACATGATAAAGAAGCTCTGGGGTGACTGGTACTTTGATCTACACAATGGCAAATTTAGCAAGTCAGCCACTAGCCCTGAGGAAAAGAAGCTGCCCTGTACTTTCTTCCAGCTCATTCTTGGTCCTATTTTTAACGTGTTTGATGTGATCATGAACTCCAAGAAAGAAGACATGGCAAAATTGATCAAGAAGCTAGACATTAAGCTGAACAGTGAGGACAAAGACAAAGAGGGCAAGCTGCTATTCAAGGCTGTGATGTGTCACTGGCTGCTGGCCGGGAACACGCTGCTGCAGAGATCATGATCCACTTGCCATCCTCCATCACAGCACAGAAGTACTACTGCAAGCTTCTATATGAGGGTGCCCCAGACAACAAGGCTGCCATAGCCATTAAAAGCTGTGACCCCACTGCCCCGTAATGATGTACATTCCCAAAATGTTGCCAACGTCCAATAAAGGTCAGTTCTATGCCTTTGGATGTGTCTATTCGGAGCTGGTGTCCACCAACCTGAAGGTCCAGATTATGGGTCCTAACTACACCCTGGGAAGAAAGGGGACATCTACCTGAAGCCCATCCAGAGGACCATCCTGATGATAGGCCACTATGTGGAGCCCATTGAGGATATGCCTTGTGAAAACATCATGGGACTGGTGGGTGTGGACCAGTTCCTAGTGAAGACTGGCACCATCATCACCCTTGATCATGCCCACAACTTCATGTGATGAAGTTCATTGTCAACCCGGCCGTCAGGGTGGCCATGGACGCCAAGAACCTGGCTGACCTTCCCAAGCTAGTGGAGGGGTTGAAGTGGCTGGCTAAGTCCAACTCCATGGTGCAGTGCATCATTGAGGAATCGGGAGAGCACATCATCCAGGGTGCCAGTGAGATGCACCTGAAGATCTGCCTCAAGGACCTGGAGGAGGACCATGACTGCATCCCCATCAAGAAATCAGACCCCATGGCCTCGTACCAGGAGACAGTCAGTGAGGAATTGAATGTGATGTGCCTCTCCAAGTCCCCCAACAAGCACAACCGCCTGTACATGAAGATGCAGCCTTTCCCAAATGGCTTGGCTGAGAACATGGACAAGGGTGAGGTGTCCACCAGCCAGGAGCTAAAGCAACGTGCTCCCTATCTGGCTGAGAAGTGTAAGTGGGACATGGCAGAGGCCTGCAAGATCTGGTGCTTTGGCCCTGATGGCACCGGCCTCAACATCCTCACAGACATCACCAAGGGGGTGCAGTATCTCAATGAGATCAAGGATAGTGTGGTTACTGGCTTTCAGTGGGCCACCAAAGAGAGGGCACTATATGAGGAAAATATGCTAGAGTACACTTTGATGTCCATGAAGTGACCCTGCGTGCTGACGTCATCCACCATGGGGGTGGTCAGATCATCCCCATGTGCAACCCTGCCTATAAGTCAGCGTTCTGACAGCACAGCCGTGCCTCATGGAGCCCATCTATCCTGTGGAGATAGTGTCTGGAGCAAGTGGTTGGGGGATCTGTGGTGTCCTGAACAGCAAGCGAGGCCATGTCTTCAAGGAGTCCCAGGTGGCTGGCACCCCCATGTTCGTGGTTAAGGCCTACCTGCCCATCAATGAGTCCTTCGGCTTCACTGCCAACCTGCAGTCCAACACAGGTGGCCAGGCCTTCCCTCAGTGAGTGTTCAACTGCTGGAAGATCCTGCCTGATGACCCATTTGACAACAGCAGCTGCCCGAGCCTGGTGGTGGCAGAGACCTGCAAGCACAAGGGCCTGAAGGAAGGCATCCCAGCATTGAAAAAATTCCTGGGCAAGTTGTAGGCAAGCGGCACCACTCTAGCTCCACCAGGGCAGCATGTCCTCATTCAAATGACACCTCAAGACTGTCCCCACACAGTGACCTCTGCCTGGTGGGTTTTCAGGCCTGCTCCATGCCATCATGCCATTCACACTTGATGCTATTTCTACTTATTTTGAGTTTCAGAGCAGCAGAAACGCCCTCTCTGCAGGGACTTTTGGGCTGGTGGGAGGAGAGATGGTGTAGGAAACCCAGTGTTTTTTGTTTTTCATTTGTTGATAGGGAACCACAAATCTGATGCCTCAAAATTTAAAATAAACACATTAAGAGATTTGTTTGGAAAAATGGCCTGAACCATTTTCAACTGGAAGAACAGGTGGGTAGGTAAGCCCTGGAAGGCAAGATACTGAGCAATGTCACCACAAGCACCACCAGCTTTGTTAGTGCCATTGGAATAATAAATTCACTATGGTGGTTAAAAAAAAGATGATTGAACCATAAGATAGGATTCCATGCATCTACATCTCCAGGAGTAAAACTACCTGCTAATGAGGAGCACCGTAAAGGACACATTTTTAATTGGGTTAAGAAACTGAGACTTGGAAGTTTCTCTGCAAGCATCTACATAACCTTAACTAATACACTGTAGTTATCATTATCTGATGTAACTACAAGTAAAGGTACCTCTCATACAGAGTGGTCGCAGTCACAATCTTCTCAAGATCTAAACTACCTTAAACTCATGTTGTTAGACAACACCAAAAGAAGACAAAACATTACATGTGCTGTTACCCTTAACTTTTTTTTCAGTAGTAGGGATCTAACTCAGGACCTTGCACTTGCCAGGCAGGCCCTTGTGCCACTGAGCTATATCCTTGGACCCGCTTGTATTGCTACCAAAGGAGTAAATTGAATGGTAAATTCACTAGGGTTCATTTGTTCTCCACATGATATACCCCATCATGTCCACATACCCAAGAGAGAATAAATGCTATAGTAACTTTTCAAATTAATCAGAATGTATAAATGTGGGCAACTATAACAGATTAACTGCAAATTAAATGCATATATGTAATGTATATAACATGATATATGTATACTATATATAATCTCTATTCTCTCTATACATATTCACTACAAATTTTTAATTATTTCCATTTATATGGTATGAAACATTAATTCATTCTAAAATTATTAATTGGACAATTGTGGACTGAAAACTAGCTCACTGATAATAACATGCAAAGAGCCCCCATGGCAGGTTAGAGACAAATAGCACAGGTCACTCTGAGATAGTTCCTGCATAGCTACATGGGGAGGTCCAGAGGCCAATCATGAGAATAAACTTGAGTGAGGTGGCATCCAGGTGAGACACAGAAATACCAGGAGTTAGAATAATAAGTGAAGTTGATGCTCAACTCCAGTGGTGGTCACTGCAAAGCTTTGGAGAATGGGCCATATTGAGATGAACACAATCCTCCTGGGGTAAAGGCTACTGGCATTGTCACCACTTGGCATCCTACGATCACTTTTGGAAACAGTTCTAGAAGTCCTCTTTTTTGAGTATCTTTAGCAGGTATGATTTAAAAACATGGTGAGTGTTACTGCTAAGTGCCATTCAATGGAAAGACATGGTTGTAAGAACATAATGGTTCATCCTCATCCACCATATCTAGTGCCTTAAACTTCTGGCTTTTTGCCAATGTCAAAATGCCCATGAAAGGTACATGTTTGGAATCAGTTCAGGACATAGAAGGGCCTATAATGGTGCAACTAATGATGCATGTGAAAGATAACTTCTAGTACTACTTCACAAAGTGGCAAGAGTGAAGGAATAAGTGTGTTAAAAGTGTAGAGGAATATTGTGTGGGTTATTAATGGCAATGTATCTTTTCCTATAACAAAATTTTATTTTATTTTATTTTGTTTTTTTTGTGGTACTAGAGATTGAACTCAGAACCCTGCACTAGCCAGGAAGGTGCTTAGTCTACTGAGCTATCTCCCCAGCCCTACTGAAATGATTTTCTTTGGGGGGGGAACCGGGGATTGAACTCAGGCCCTTGTGCTTGCCAGGGAAGTGCTTATTCCACTGAGCCATCTCCCCAGCCCCTATGAATTTTTATTTTTTTTTATTTTTATTTTTTTTGCTTTCTAACTTATATTTTATTGTATTATTTTTTTTCTCAAAGTTTTATTGACAAAGAGATAGCAATGAGACAGTTTCAAATCAAAACGGAAGGACAGTTTCAACAAATAATACACTGCATATATTCTTCTTAGTGGTTAATTGCTGTACAAGATGCGGACTTGTGATCCTATTCACAAACACCA